CAAGGGCGTCGGGGTCTCTCTCAGGGGATAGCAGCATGGCACAGACAGAAGGAGAAGCAGCTGCCCAGTACTCCAGCTCAGACTCTCTGTCCTCTAGGACGTCACAGCCAAGGGCAAACTCACCCCTGACGGACAGAGGACGGGAGGGAGGAGCTGGCACCACACGGGTGGTGTAGTCAAGGCGCCTGGCGGCAGCAAACTCAGCGACAGCGGCAGTGAGAGCCGAGACAGACGACGGAGGGAAACAAGAGTCGGTGACAAGAGTGGCGAGGACACGAGAGACAACAGGACGAACAGCGCGGTAGTAGTCAGTGACAGGATTAGGGGGGAAAGGGAGAGAGGACGGAGGCGGAGACGGGAGAACGGACTCAGGAGGAGGACGACGAAGAGACGAACAAAGGAGGGCAGTGCGGAGGTCGGTAACGGGAGACGAGTGACGAGCACGCGGAGGACAGGGACGGACACGAGAGTGTGGGACACCAGGTGGAGGAGACTGCGGTGGAGGAGAAGACCAGACCGCTGGACTGTGGTCAGGAGGAGGAAACGTGGGACCAAACGCTAGAGGGGACGGAGTGTGAACAGGAGGAGAGGAGGGAAGACCAAGGGCCCGAAGGCCACTCACGTGTGGGAACAACTGCCGCTCCAGAGGGAGTTGCGGTGGGCGCGGCTGCGGCGGCGGTGTCTGCTGCTGCGGCGACTGCTGCTGCTGCTGCTGCTGCTGCCGCTGCTGCTCCAGCAGGTCCAACTGCCGCAACTCCTGCCGCTCCCTCTCCAACAGCACCTGCTCCTCACGCTCACGCCGACGGGCCGCCTGGAGACGTGTGTCGTGGCGGTGGGGAGGCGGAGTGGACTCCGCAGAACCAGTGTCTCCAGCTCCAGTCTCCTCAGAACCAGCACCTCCAGTGCCAGCGCCTCCAGCACCATCACCCCCAGAACCAGCACCTCCAGGACCAGCACCCCCAGAACCAGCACCTCCTGTGCCAGCACCTCCAGCTCCAGCACCCCTAGAACTAGCACCTCCAGTGCCAGGACCTCCAACTCCAGCACCCCCAGAACTAGCACCTCCAGTGCCAGCACCTCCAGCTCCAGCACCCCCAGAGCTAGCGCCACCTGCGCCAGCACCTCCAGCTCCAGCACCCCCAGGACTAGCACCTCCAGTGCCAGGACCTCCAGCTCCAGCACCCCCAGGGCTAGCGCCACCTGCGCCAGCACCTCCAACTCCAGCACCCCTCGAACGAGCACCCCCAGACCGAGTACCGCCAGTGGCTGCACCTCCAGCTCCAACACCAACCGAGTCCACAGTAACGTGTCGCGGAAGTACCGAAGGCTGCTGAGGGGACTGTGAGGAGGACTGCGGGGAGGGAGACGCTACCTGACGCGCGACCGAGGGTAGAGGGGTAGCGTGAGACACACCTGACGGGGCAGGACCAGAGGGGGGTGGGGGTACCGGAGGAGCGGGAGCAGGGGGAAGAGAGGGTGCGAGGAAAAGGGGGGGAGGGGGAACCGGGAGACCTCGACAGGGGTACCGGGTGTAGTAGGACACTGACTCGTCGAACTGGACGTCACGGGAGTCTAGGAACTGGTGGAGGGGCGGGTGGTAAAAGGACCAGTCGGCCGAGGCTACCGGGAAACCAAGGAAGACACAGGGGACGGCGCGAGCCGAGAGCTTGTCCGCAGAGGTGTCGCGGACAAGCGCAAGGCAGCCCCAGACACGAAAAGCTGACCCAACACCAGGGGACCCGGTCCAAAGATTGGTCGGTGAAGCCTCTGGCCGCGAGACGCGCGGCTGGAGGTTCAGCTGGTGAGCGGCGTAGCGAACCGCGTAGGGCCACAGAAAATGGGGCGCACGGGCATGAATCATGGACGTGCGGGCGATGTCCATGACCAAGCCAATGCGGCGCTCAGCAACCCCATTCTGCTGTGGGGACTCCGGCAGCGTCCAGGACTGTACGATGCCCTGCTCACCGCAGAATCCGGCAAGAATGCCTGAGCGAAACTCACCCCCACGGTCAGAGTGGAGACAGGAGACACGACGGCCACAAGTGCCCTCAGTGGCTAGAAGCCACTGGATCAGCGTAGAAGTCACCTCGGACTTCTTCGCGAGAGGAAACACCGTGGTGTACCTGGAGAAGTCGTCGACGACCACCAGAAAGTAGCGCTCCCTCTCAGGTCCCTGCGTAGGTGCAGGGCCCCAGACATCCAAGTGGAGTGTCTGGAAGGGAGCAGTGGCCGGACGAAGGGAGGAGGAGTGCGGAGTGGCACGAAGACGGCCGGCGACGCAAGGAGTGCACGACGGCGCAGGCGAGGGAGGGAGCGACGGGAAGACGCGAGGGAGACCTGAAACAAGACGGTGACTAGCCATAGTGCGGAGGCGGGGGATCGACGGGTGGCCAAGATGGTGGTGCCACAAGACAGTCTGGTGGGTGAAAGACCGACACGAGCAAGACGCAACAACTAGACCGGACACAGCAACCTGACCGGACACAGCAACCTGACCGGACTCTGCTACCGGGGGGGACGAAGCAACCTGACTAGACGCAGCTACCTGCGGGTGCGGAGTGTGTAGGACGAAGAGACCTGAGTGGGGCTCTCTGGTGAACGTGGCAAGAACTGCCCCGGTGGAAGAGTCCGTACAGATCGCAGTCCTCCTGTGCGCAGGAAAAGTGAATGTGATCCCCCGGTCCTGAAGGTATCCAACACCCACCAAGTTCCGAGAGAACGAGGGGATGTAGAGACCAGTGAGGAAACCAGAGGGGACAGCTGGGCACGTGAGAGTGGTCGAGCTGCGAGCAACTGCTGGTCCTGAAGTAGGATCAGCCAGGGCAACTGGGACTGGAGCCGAAAGAGGTGTGACAGTGGTGTGGTCGCGGAAGAAGCACTGAGACGCGCCGGAGTCCAGCGTGAAGGAGAGCGACGCAACAGCAGTCGTCACGGCTGGGCTAGTGACTACACAAGCACCTACACTAAAAGCACAAGTACCGACACTAGCAATAGGCAAAGGTCCTAAGCTAGGTACACGCAAGCCAAGAGATCCATACGTGACAGAATAAACAGCATTTATAGACATATCAAACACAGGGTAACCACTACGAAACAGACCGGGCCAGATCGGGGGAGCCGACTCAGGCCCAAAACGCTCACGGTAAAGGTCGTCGAGGCGGCTGTAGCAGCGCTGTGCAGAGTGGTCAGGACGCCAGCAGGTAGTGCCAGCACCAGGGCCGGTCAGGATCCGGTACTGGCAGGGGCCGACGTCGCGGCCACCGCGACGAGCCCCCCAGCTAGCTGGGCCGCTGCTGCAGCCAACGCGACCTGAACCACTAGGCCCCCACGGCTGCTGAGGGCGCCACAGCTGCTGAGGGCGCCCCTGCTGCTGCGGAAGCCACTGCTGAAACGGCCGCTGCTGCTGTCCCTGCTGCTGGAGAACCCTAGTGGACTCCATGATAAAAGCTAGCGGGGTGCAGGAGCGGCAGGCTAGGAGCGCCAGGTGAAACTAGGCGAGGAACGGCTGAAGCACGGAGCAAACTGAGCTAGAAGCGCCAGGTGAAACTAGGCGAGGAATGGCCGGAGCAAGAACTGGCTGGAGCTAGAAACGGCGAGCGAGGGCTGGCTGGAGGTAGGAACGGCCGGAGCTAGAGACCGGAAGTGCGGCTGTCGGCTGCCGCTAGTAGAGCCACTGGCAGTGGAAAGTACGTGCGACAGTAGAGGCTGCAGTACTGACGGCTGCGGGATGGAGGCAACTGTGCAGGTCGTCCGGCAAGCAGGAACGCGGGCGACAGTTGCAGGCCCCCACCCTAGACACCCTTTTGTTTGTTTGTTTTTTTTTTTTTTTTTTTTTTTTTTTAAGGGCTTAATGAATTAATTTATTTTCTGGCGCTAAAGCGCTCCGGGGCGCGCTGCCTGCAGGGTGTGCTGCCTGCGGGGCGCGCTACCCGCGGGGCGCGCTGCCTGCGAGGCGCGCTACCCGCGGGGCGCGCTACCCGCGCGGCGCGCTGCCTGCGGGGCTGGGGCGACGGGCCAGGGCGCGGGCTGGGGCGACCGGCGAGGGCGCGGGCTGGGGCGACGGGTTAGGTCGCGGGCTGGGGCGACGGGCCAGGGCGCGGGCTGGGGCGACGGGCTAGGGCGCGGGCTGGGGCGACGGGCCAGGGCGCGGGCTGGGGCGACGGGCTAGGGCGCGGGCCTGGGCGACGGGCTAGGGGCGCGGAGGGCGCTAGGCGCGGAGGTCCGCGACGGCGCGGGCTAGGGGCGCGGAGGGCGCTAGGTGCGGAGGTCCGCGACGGCGCGGGCTAGGGGCGCGGAGGGCGCTAGGCACGGAGGTCCGCGACGGCGCGGGCTAGGGGCACGGAGGGCGCTAAGGCGCGCGGGCCGAAAACATGGGCTAGGGGCGCGGAGGGCGCTGACGCGCGGAGGAGGAGGGCGCTAGGGCGCGGAGAGGGTGCGGAGGGCACGGAGCCTAAGGCGCGGAGGGCGCGGAGGGCACGGAGGGCGCGGAGGGCGCGGAGGTGCGCTAGAGAGGGCGCGGGCTAGGAAGTAACGAGGAACTAACCTACTCGTGATACCATCTCAAAGTAGGAATGCAACGGAATGTGTGAACTAGGGAAACAAGGGATACAAATAGCAACCCTAAAAGTGTTGTACTCCCTAGAGTGCTACTCATTGTAGCCTAAGAACCTATAATAACATTTGACATGTTAATAAACAAATTTTTGTTACAAGCACAAACATTTCTGTTGACTGTGCATTCTTGCTGAAGTACTACTTTCCAAGAGTTCTGTGCTTTACAACATGTGTTGGAAGGAATATATAGTAAATATGGATGGATAATATATAGCGAACTGTACATTAACAGAGAAAGGAAAACAATTGAACTGCTGTGAATATTTGGGATTCTGTACCTAGCCTAGGCAGAAAACAAAAACGAAATTCTAATATTACAAAGATACATACATAATCTACGATATCACATACTCTATATGACTAGTAACCAAACCTACGTATTGTCATCAAAACATGTAAAGGAAGGCGCGTTCCTCTTGCGTCATGGCGTGCCTGAAATGGCATCGATGACCATATGGGCATTGCTTCCCCGAAGCAATCATGCGACAGAGTTCCGTCTTGTAACGCGGATGCCGCAGAATAGGCCGCATCTCCTCCACTCCATGGGCAAACTGCAACGAGGCATCCAGCAACAGGCAGCAAGTGGATTGGAGAAGAGATAAGTACAAGGGATACCTGGCACAACAGACTCTTACAAGAAGCGGGATCGCAGGCATACCTGGCATCTGTTGCCGTACGGACAGGCGCCCGTCTGCTCCCACTTGTTGCAAAGCTCTGTCTTGTACGTCCCCTGATCATACACATCCAATGCCGCCGCCGCAGCCGCTGCTGCTGCCGCTGCAGCCGCCGCCGCTGTTCCCCCTCCTCCACCCATGCTTGACGTGGCACCTTCGCTCCTCTCCTTCACACCATCCCTCCCCCTGCTCCGCTCGCTCGAGGCAGCTCCACTTGCACTCAGTCTAGACTCCAACGAATGGTTCTCCTCCACCCTCCGCTCCCTGCGCCGGCTGCGAGACATCATACCTGTGTCCGGCTCACCATCCACCCACGCACGGCTACCCGTTGTCTCCTCACGCCTCACTCCTCCCACCCCTGCTCCTCCTCCACCCCCTCCTCCTCCGGTAGCACCTCCCAAGCGGGAAAAAACGCTCGCCTTTGCCGCAGCACCAGCAGAGGCAGCAGAGGCAGCAGGGGAGGGCACGCCTCGATGAGGCCGCAAGCTCCCCTCACCACCCACTGTCACCATCCTTCCACTGCCGCTCGTGGCAACACCTTCCCTAGAGGACAATGCCCCTGGCGACCCCAGTCTCGTGCCTGTAACCTCAAGTCTACCCTTCAGCGCTCCAACTGCTGCACTCGTGTCTCTCACACCTCCTCCTGCGTGCCGCTCCTCCGTACCTCTTTCCCTTGCCTGTGCACTGCCACCACTTGTCACTGGCTTGCCCGGCGCGACTAATGCTGTCCCCTCTGCTGCTGCGGTCCCCGACACGCCTCTCTTCCTGCTGCTGCTGCTACTCAAGGCAGCAGCAGATGCTGATGCAGACGGCGGAACTGATGCAACTGCACCAGCAGGAGACTTCGGGGGAGGAGAGCTTAGCAATGCACCAACAGCAGCAGGAGCTGCAGCATCACTAGACACAGCAGCAGCTGTTGCTGCTGCTGCTGCTGCTGCTGCACTACCGTTACCACCATTACCCGCTTTTCCACCTGCACCTCTCCCCACGCCCTCTCCTGCTACTCCTCGTTCCCTTGCCGCCAGGGCAGAAACAGCAGCGCCAGCAGGCAGCTGATTTGCTCTAACGGAGATGCTTTTAGGGAGGGGAAGAGGCAGCGGCTGAGCAGTAGCAGCAAGGGCTTCAGCACGCCCCACAGGCAGCAGCGCCGTACCTTCAGACACAATAGAAGTCACTATCCCCTCCACTAGCTTAGGTGCAATGGAGGGCAAGGCAGGCGGCACCACAGGTGAGCGGATGGAGGTAGGCGCAATGGATGGTGTGGAGTTACCAGGCTTGCCTGCTCTTAATCTAGAGGGGGCGTCTGGGACGGGCTTGGAAGCACGGGCATGCAGGGAGGTAGCAAACTTGGGAGACAGATCAGGGGCAAGGCGAGGCGAGATGGAGTCAGAGGCAAGTCTTGGGGGCTGAGGAGATGGCCAGTTCAGGGAACCCGGGGCTAGTACCCCAGGTGTGATACCTGGCATAGCCTCGGAATGCGCAGGTGGAGAGGTTTTCCCTTGAGGCAGGAGTTTCCTTTCTCTCTCTCGTACTTCCTTGACGTCGGCCATGGGTGTGTCGAAATCGATAGGCCTTCCTCCAATATCGCTCCTGCTGTTAGTCCATGACCTCAACCGCGCAGCAGCACTAGCAGTTGCAGAGCCTGTGGGGGCAGTCGCAGACCCAATGGGAGCAGCCGCAGGGGTAGTAGAGCTAACTTGGGCAGCACCTGACGCACCTGCTACAGCAGCAGCAGCTGTAGCAGCCTCCGATGATTTAGCACCCGTGCCAGACTGAGGAACAGGAGGCGAGACAGCAGCGGCAAAGGTACGAGGTGGGGGAGAGATGGGAGTGGGGCGCGAGGAAAAGGCCTGGGAGGGAGTGAGCGGAATACTGGTGGTAACCAGGCGCGAGTGGAAGGGCATGGCGGGGTGGGAAGTGAGGGGAGTGGGGCCTGGCGAGGACATGGAGAGGAGGAAGGCCATGGAGCTATCTGTGGGGGTGGTGCCTGCTGCAGGGGAAGCACTGCCTTGCACACCTGGAGTAGCAGCACTTGACCCACCAGCAGCAGCAACCGCAGCAGCAGCCGCAGCAGCAGCGGCGGCGGTGGCAGCTGCACCAGAAGCAGCAGGAAGAGGCGACTTTGCTGCAGCAGGAGCACCGGTTACCATTGCACCAGCAGCCGCAGCCACAGCAGCAGCTGTACGACCCCCTGCTCTCCCAGTTGACATCACAGCCGCACTGAAACTGGGCATAGCAGAACGACGGGCATCGCTGCGTCCACCAGAAGCTTCCTTGGAATCCAGCTGACGTGCATCAACAGCAGGCTGACGTGGCTCCACGTCATGCATCTTCTCGTCTGGCTGGGACTGCCCCGTCGGCCTCCTGATCACCTCAGCAGCACTATCCGTTAGATATACCCCTTCCGATCCTGCTGTTTCCAGTGAAGTAGTTTCAGCACATGCCATGGAAACGTCTTGTGCGGCTGTGGCTTCAGCAGGGCGTGTGTGGAGCATCTCTGGTGTTGCTGGGACAGCACGCTTTGTGCGCTGCATAACTGGTACCGTAGTCGGAGTGAGGGGAGAACCTGGAGCCTTGACAGCAAAGTCACTTGCTGCTGCTGCTGCTGCAGCAGAAGAAGCGGCAGAAGCGGCAGCAGCAGCGGCGGTGGCGGCGGCGGCAGGTGCAAGGGAGCATGCTTGTAGAACAGCCCGGCCATGCAGCAAGAGAGTGTTGGGTTCAGGGAGCTTTTCAAGAATGACCCCTCGTGCCCCATCACCATCATCCCCACCACCAACGCCATCAACAGCAGCGGCATCAGCGGCATCAACAGCAGCAAGAGCCGCACCAGCCGTGGCCACTTCTTTGCTTTGCATCTCAACCTCTCCTCCCTCCTCCCGCTCCTCCTGGCCACCCATCCGCTCCCCCTGCTTCTCCTTCTCCTTCCGCAGCTGCTGCTCACTCTGCTTCGCCTCTGCACCCGGCCTCCCAGCTTCCGCAACATGTGCGGCAGCAGCAGCCGCAGCAGCTGGAGCAGCAGCAGCAGCAGCAGGCCCCCTCTGCACCTCAGCTAGGAGCAACTTAATTCTGTCCTCCGTAGTGACCAGGTCGTCAGCAGCAGATATCACACCCCCATGCCTTGCACTGCCCAGGTCTGCACGTGATATTGCTGCCTGCCGTGGGGCCACCGCGTGTGCGTCTTGATCACCTCTCACCATCCGCGCAGCATCTGCCACGAGTGTTTTTCCTTGTGGTGACTGCCCAGCCAATGGCGACCAGAGAGGCATGTCCACGCCTTGCCCTTGCTGCTGCTGCTGCTGCCTAGTGCCTACCGCTTCCAACGCTGCAGTGAATATCAGAGAATGGGTGGGAGGTATGGGGGGCAAGAAAAAGAACCCTGGTCAGAGAAACCTCAAGACCCGATAATGCACAACACAGGAATTTCCCCCAAAAAAACACTGAGAATCAAGCTAGCACACGGACAAGCAGATTAAGAGACAAAATGCAGCCAAACAGGATCAAGACAGGCAGAGAGACGAAGGATTGCATACGCGATGAGGAACGCAGCAGTGACCGTCCAGGTGCTGCAGTTGCCCCTGGTGTGCAACCCAGTGGGCTGTGAGGCAGCGGCGCGGCGACCACAGGCATGCCAGGCATGCCGGGCGAGGAGTCTCGCATCGGGCCGCGGCGCAGCAGCTCCATATTTGCTGCTCTCAGCTGCAGGGCGTCTGCTCGCAGCTGGCGAGAGGAGCGAGGACGACAGGGCGACAGGGCACAAAGGTGAGCGTGTGGGTGAGTAAGGGTGCGAGAACTGAGGCAACGATCTCAGGCGAGCGAATCAAAGCTGTAGGGAACTCGGGGAGCACATTCGTGCTTGCTTACTTGAGAGGTCTCTGCGTGTGCCTGCTGCAGTTGGCCGGCAACAGAGTTGTAGCTCCCCAGCAGTCCCTGGAACTGTGCTGATATGCGCTCCACGTATCGCTCCAATTCCGCCAGCCGCTGCTGCTCCTTCTCCCCCCGCACTTGCTCACGTTGCCATGCCTCCTGCCCCTGCCGCTTCGCCCTGCCAGCCACATGACAAGTGTGTCAGGTGAGTGGAATCCTACGAACTGCGTTACGAGAACGTGGGTGCGACAATGGGGGAACGGAGGGTCGGGACGGGGGTGAGGATCACCTATTGGTATCCGTTGATGTATCCATGATGCTCCCCCAGTCAACGCTCTCCAGCACCTGGGAGAGACAGCAGGCACACACACATGCACAGGCACACGCAAACACACGCACGCACGGGCGCACACGGACGCACGCGCACGCACACACAACCGCGCACGCACACACAACCGCGCACGCGCACACCAAAACAAACACACAGAAGACCAACTTATGCACATCATGTCATCAGCCAAATCCCATGAAAGAAAAAAGAAGCGCAGTGCTGAAAACGCAATTTCATCAGTCTGTCATCGAAAAAGGTCAGAAGGGCTAGGTACCTTGTGCTGCAGAGGGGAATCGTTCCTCGCATGGCCCATCTCCGCCACTGCCTGCTCCGCCTTGAGCTTCCCCTCCATGGCCCACACCAACTCCGCCTCCAGTGCTCTCTGCCACCCACCATACGGCACACAGGAACACACATTAGCGTCAGTAGGACGCAGCGGCCTCCCATTCACAAGCAAAGGTGACAAAAATAAGATAACAGACTGAAACGAGAAGAACATCCTGGCACCGGCGCAGAGGAGCAACTGCAATGAACACCCTTTGCACCTGTGTGAGCTTCAGGTCCTTGATCTCATGCCTGAGCTTCTCCGCGGACCCTTTGCACCTGATGCAGAACCTCCCTTCCTCCACTGGCACTTCCCAACCCATTGGCGCCTCAAATGGCTGCTGCTGCGCCTGCTGCTGATGCTGCTGCTGCTCGCCTCTGGCTCTCCTCAGGTTGCTGGAGCTCTGCAGGCCGAACGAGCTCCAAATCCTCTCCTGCAGCCCAAACGCACCACCTGCGTCACCCCATCCACCCCCCTCACCACCGCCACCAGCGCCGACATCCACAGCAGCATCCGCAATCATATCCGCGTGCCGCTTCCCCAAAAGCCCCCACCCTTCTCCCTGCTCAGCCGCCACAGCCATCCCCATCCCCCTCGCTGCAGCAGCACCACCAGCTCTGGCTAAAGGCTGGGGCAAATCATCACCTCCTGCAACCATCAGACCTCCCACTCCTGATAAGCCGAGAGCAAGAGATGCTGCTGCACCTTCACCACCAGCAGCATCTGCTCTCCGTGACAAGTGCAGCTTGCACCCATCCTCACCATACCCAGCACCCAGCATCCTGCCACGACCACTAAGTCCATCGAAATCACCACAATCAAAACCCAACACAGGGACTATCCCTAGCCCTGGTCCTTCCTCCGCATCTCCATCGTTGTCGCTGGACGATTTGCCTTGATCTGAGCCGTCCAATGCTCCAGCAGCAGCAGCAGCAGCAGCAGCAGCAGCATCGTGGCTGTCATCTTCCAGCAAATCCATGGGCATGTAGCTCATGAGAGAGGGCGACTCCGGATCCATGTCCTCCGCCTCCACGTCAGCACCAGTAACATTCACGTGAAGCTCAAGTCCAGGCTCCACCTCTGCCTTAACAGAATTAACTGACTCGTCTTTATCCATCTGGGTGTTGTGAAGTCGCTGGCAAGGAACAGGCACCACACCACTCCCAATACGTAGAAGAAAACGAAGCTTAACCAACTTGCAGGCAATAACCCTGTGCAACCAGGGTGACGTTAGGAGCCACGGGCGTGTTGTCTCCTAGGTAACTTAATTTCCAACCCTTGAAGCTAAGTCTTCAATGGATTGATAACTTGAAGCTCGGCTCGGCACAAGGTCGCTGAAAACTAGCCTTCAGCCTTCAGGCATCCGTTTGTCAGTGCTATGCGAGTGATTGATGTTGATGCAGACGATAATTTACTGCCTGCACGCCATGCAGATGTCACGACCGAAACCCACGGACACTGCTGAGAAGAACCATGGGCCGTCACAGTAGGTCTCCTTCACAAAGGCTCTGCCAGGAACCTGCCAGGAACCCACATGGAATAGATTAACTACTATCTGCAGGAAATACGTAGATATGGTCGATATGAACGAGATCCTAAGAATCTGAATCCGCAGATATACCTTTTGAGCACCTTACAAGAATCTACAGCAGAAAACACGCTCTCACCCGAAAATCCGAATCCAGTGGCGGATGATGCGCGTGTCGAGGCTCGACGTTGCTGCAGCAGCACTGCGTGCGTGTCTTCCAAGAAAGAAAACGTTAACGAGATTGACTGCACCAGTCAACAACAGCCTCGTCCTGTCGCCCACTTGACGGCTCCTTCTCCCTCCCAGCAACCTCGCGCTTCTGCCCGTCTCATCCTCGGCGGAAAAAGGAAACCCCAGCTCCTATGAATCTCAAAACCTCCTCTCCCGTATCGCGTGCGTCTTCCCCTGGACGCAGCACGCTTCTCACACTTCCTCTCTCTTTGCCTCATCCGGCATATGCGTCGCACATGCCATGCTCTCCTCTCCCTCCCACGCACACCATCTCGCCAGTCCATCAGGCAGTCGCGTCGGCTCCGCTCGGCCAGGCTGTTCGGAATCCCCAATGCCATGTGGTGAGCCACCACGCCTATTCCCCAAATCCCTCCACATCCGTTGCCCAACCGAGCCGCATTCCCTGCCCCTTGGCGGTTCAAGCGGCGCGGACATTGGCCCTGCCTCAACCAGCTGTGTAGCCTGGACCTTGAGACTGTCCCGTAAGCGGGGAGGCTGGGTCCGCAGACAGCTGTCTCGGGGAGGAAATCGACGTGGCATCGAGACACGAAAGGCGAATGCGTGACACGTGTAGAAAGATTTGTGCGACAGGGCCACTTGCTAGTAAGAAGTGACACGACCTTTCGCAGCATGATGCCGCCTCAATGCAACATGCACAGAGAAAGTCCCAAGGCTTTATGCCAACGTGATCGGAAGGGTGTGCAGCGCGGACAGCAGCAATCCAGCCAGAATAAGTTGAACAAGTTGATTTGAGACCCTCTACACTTGAATCGAGCTATTTCCAGTGATCTTACAGACATACAGAATTTGCTATTTGCTAGAGCACACGTCGAATTGAGAAAAGCTGTACGAAGCTGAGAATTCTTTTTAGGTGTCAACTACTGAAAAGTACTGGAGCATGACAAAGGGCAAAAAAATAAGGGGCTCCTTAGCCCTTGAAATCTGTTCTACTACTAGAAACCAGACAGAAACAGACACGATCCTTACACGACAACCAGGGATCAAGCCCTGACTAGCCAGCCTCTGACTGAAGCACATCCTTAACCAGCACGTGCCTTAACCAGCACCACCAGCAATAAGCCACAGCAACCAGCCAGCGAGCTCGAGCCCAAAACTAGGCTGACTCAGAATCAGAACTCTTTACAGAAGCTGAGCCACATCATTCGGCAGCTCCTCAATAGTCGTGTTGTAGAAGCGCTGGATGTCCTGAAGCATGCGCTCATCGTCCTTGGTCACAAAGTTGATGGCAACACCCTTACGTCCAAACCGCCCTGACCGACCGATACGATGGAGGTAGTTCTCAGGCTGGGTGGGAAGGTCGTAGTTGATGACAAGAGACACCTGCAGGGAAGGGGAGAAATTGAACGCATACACCAACAATCAGGTTTGATACCACAACACCTTCACAGATGGAACATGAACACCAACGGGAAGTATGTTGAAGAGGAATAGGGATGCTTTGGGAACAAGTGGTGCAATAATTTTTTACAGAACAAAACAAGCAGCATCAACAGAATGACGCGTTACAGCAACCAGCTGTTAGCTCACCTGCTGCACGTCAATGCCACGTGCCAGCAGGTCGGTGGTGATGAGCACACGGGACGAGCCAGAGCGGAACTCCCTCATGATGATGTCACGCGTGTTCTGGTCCATGTCACCGTGCGTGGCCGACACCGTGTGGTCGCGGCTGCGCATCTTGTCCGTGAGCCAGTCGACCTTGCGACGAGTGTTGATGAAGATGACAGACTGCACGCAGCAACATATGTTCGGGTGTAGACGAGAAAAAAGGAGGATCAGGAAACCCCAACACGGGAACAGAACGATCACATACTAGGGTTTCAGAACTTGGAGTGCTTAATCTATGGCACTCACAACAGGAAAAACCGAAAAACTGCAGGACAGAGTGTTAGACAAATCACACATAGGAGGAAGGAGTCCAATTGCAAGTCAATCAAACAGTACACCTACCTGGGTGATCGCAAGGGTCTCGTAGAGATCGCAAAGCGTGTCCAGCTTCCACTCCTCCTTCTCAACGTTCACGTAGAACTGCTTGATACCCTCCAGGGTGAGCTCGTCACGCTTCACGAGAATCTTGACGGGCTTGTTCATGAACTTGCGGGTGATCTCCAGCGCTTCCGGGGGCATCGTGGCGGAAAACACGCCGACCTGGAGCTTAGGCGGCAGCAGCTGGAAGATGTCGTAAATCTGCAGAATGGATAGCACATTGTCGAAACGGAAGTAATTACGCTAAGTCGTCTAAGTGGCACCCTTAACTACGTATGAAAATAATGCTGCTCCTACAACCTCAGAATTGAGACACCGAACACGGGTTACGGACCTGGTCCTTGAAACCGCGAGAGAGCATTTCGTCAGCCTCGTCGAGCACGAAGCACTTAATGTGGTCCGGACGAAGGGAGCTACGACGCAACATGTCGTACACGCGACCAGGAGTACCCACCACCACGTGCACACCAGCCTGCAAACACACGAAAGAGAACATGTTGATAAGCTGAAGGGACACGATAATCGGCCTCGACGGAGTCGATCTTGATGAGACACGGACCTGGAGAATACGCTGATCCTCGCGAACGCTGGTACCACCGACGCACGCATGAACCTTGACCTGGAGGTAATCGCCCAGCGCGCGCATGACCTTCTCGATCTGCTGCGCCAGCTCACGGGTGGGAGCGAGAACAAGAGCCTGGCATTCGAGCAACTTGTAGTCCAGCTGCTGCAGCACGCCGGAACAGAACGTCGCCGTCTTGCCGGTTCCGGACTGTGCCTGCTGAATCACGTCCAGACCCTTGGCAAACGGCACGATACCGCGCTGCTGGATCGCGGACGGCTTCTCAAAACCTGTAGTGTCGGGGTGCAACAGTTCGGTCAGAAGTAAATCAATCATCCTGGAAAGTGGAGACTGATGCTATGGACAGATGTTCGATGCAGCGGTCAGTAGTAATTGACTGACTTCTCGTTCGTTCGTTGCTCTCAAACTTCTCGTTCACTACTTTCTCTAGGTAAACCTACCGTAAGCGTAGATTCCACGGAGAAGGTTCTCGTGAAGACCCATGATATCGAAGCTCTCGTGCACCTCATCCCAGGTGGAGATGAAGTCCTCGCCCTCGCTAGCAAGCCTGCACCACGAACGACAGGTAACAACGGCGACCGTGTCGGTGAAATTGTTGAAAAGGGGTTTATAAGCACGCGTACGTCACAAACTACACGGGCATGAATACCAACAGCCACCCGCAAACTATCTCGGAACCTCGTGAACGACAGATCTCCATAACCTATCAGCTAGTTAAAACTCTAAACTTACACATCTGCCATTTTGCTGTCATACTGCTTCGCGTCAAACTGCGATCCTTCAGGAGCCATGCCAGCCATGTTGGAAAGCTTTCTTGATAGAACAAGAACGCGACTGTTACAGGTGAAAGGGATCCGGGAAAGACAGGATATAAAGAAGACTGAAGGATATTCTGGAACATGAAATAAGGTGTTCTAAGAAGTCTGTTCTTGGTGGAGCAGCAACCAGAAATTGGAAAACATCCGCTCCTTAACCATCGTCATACAAGAAGCGACAAGGAATGAGGGTTGGTTGCGAGGCAACGAGTTACTGTGTTGGGGTTTAGCAGGGACTTACGGAGAGGCCTGGTAAGAGCGTAAAGAACGTATGAAGGGAGCTTGAGAGAGCAGGAAAACTAGGCGCAGCCTTGCCTGGCTTAGGCGCGCAAGAGGAGTTAAAGTGATTGAAAGGTGGAGTATGTAAGGAGAGGGACGGAGGGAGGGGATCGGAGCAGCGAAGGAGGTGTGAGATGGGGGAGATTTGGGATGGGGTACGTCACAGGTATGGAAGGGCTGGTCTGGTAACCACAAGCAGGCTTGGGTTTTCCTAGACGCCTGGCTCGGGCCTTGGGGTCTGCTACACGGGTAAAGGATGGAAACTTTCGTCTGGGCTTTTCTCCCACAAGTTTGGATCAACGGCTCGATCTGAGGTTGCAACGGCCGAACAAATCATCGCATGGATAACGAAGGTTGCAGTGAAGGGTGGTGGCTGCTGTGGCTGACCACCCTGAAGAGAAAATCCCTTGGAACCTTTTGAGTGGTTGATGCCCTCGAATCTCGACAACAGTTTCTTCACCACCACCACCACACCAGTTTCACGGGCAGAGAAAACACATTGGGACCTTCTTGGGAATTTAAAGCGACGGGCAACTTTTGGCAGTGTTGGGTTCAGAAGTTTTTTTTTTGAACCAGGCTTGCCAGCGCGAAAGTGCTGGCTGGCGAAAACCAGGATTTCGTGCGGACACTTTCCATCCGCAGTAACAGTTCGCCAGGGTTCTGGGTTTTGGGTGGCAAATGTGCACCGTCGCTTTAAACACACATCATGCTATCATGTGCCGAGTTACCTCGATCGACGCTGCACGTATGTTCATTTACAGTCGATGACCAGTCACAAGGCGGTGAAACATCGCACATGTTGACAAAATATTGTGACCAATGTCGAAAATTGTTTGCGTAGAAAACACTCGGTTTGAAATCGAATCAGCTGGATGACGAAGAACCATGAAATGGGAATAAACAATATATTCAATTGTAATCAAACGTGTCCTAATATTGAACAGTTTTCTGTTTGAGATTCGTAACTGAACAGCTTTCTGTAATTGGGAGTTTTTCTTGCTTCCTTAGGTTGGATCTGAAGAAACAGACTTGTTGGGCGTAATTCGAATGCTTTGTCAAAAGCTAATCTGGTAAAATTCCCAAACGCATGAAAACAAACAAGTCAAAACTTTCTGAGAACTCAAATTAAGCAGTGTAACTAAATTCTCCTTATCAGTTTCCATTCTTCCATTCGAGAGTTCTGCCACGTCAGAACAGCAAGCTCACAGAAGAAAAAATTCAAGCCATCTCCATTTCAAGTCCCATAGGAGCTGCCACATGACGAAATGCATATTTCCAGTGTTCTCAAACAAAGCTTTACCGTCTTATACATTGTGCAATAATGTATGGCATCTTCAGCGGCTAGAATCACTTGCTGTATGCATACATCTGCCTAGGTTTCAGAAACGTCTTCTCTGTTAATCAAATTTCTAGAGTGAGACTGTCTGAATCTGGTTGTAGAGGGTTCCATAAATTTCACAACCGTAGAATGGCACATGTGTGTTGCAGAGCCTAAGCACAGCAGCAGAATTGTCAGAATATGTTGTTTGTGTAGCCTGCAGTGGGGTACTCTATAGTGAGTACAGCCCCTTAGGGTTTGCCATTTTGTATCCTGCTGCTTGCTAGTTCAATCATTCCTTCTCAATTCTGTTCCTGCACACAATCCTAGCTCGTACTTGGCTCCTCGTTACTAGTCCTACTGTGGCCTAGGCTACTAAGCCTAGGCCGTACTCCTACTACTTCTGACATGTTATCAGAGGGCGGCATGTCTGCCGCCTTCCTGTGTATGGGCCCACCACCCGCTTCCGCTGCCGTACTGTGTGAAAAGGAGAAAGCGAATGAATGAACTATGAATGAAGTGAGTACATATAGGAAACCCTAATTGGGTTGTACCCCCTATGGGATACCCCACTATAGCCTACACAACAGCATAAGCTATATATATGTTCTGACACACCCCCATAGGCAAAGTGGGGGAGAACAAGGGGTCACAAGACCAGTCACGCAAAGCACAGCAAGCTCAGGGTGGATCACAAAGTCACCACACAGTCCGAGCACAACGACAAGGCCACAAGGCCAGTTCACATGCAGGAGTGCACACATATATATATAGAGCTAGACAAGCAAGAGCAGGTATATATATGTGACAGTACAAGCAAGGTCAAGAGGAGAGCAAGTGAGGCAAGACAGGTACAAGACCCAGCTGAGTGCAGAAGCGCTGATGGTCACAAGGCGCAAGTGCCTTGGTGAACACATCAGCCGTGTTGGCCTCAGAGGCCACGTACGCAAGTCGCAACTGACCACGCTGCTGCAGCTCACGAGCAAGAAAGTAACGGAGAGCAATGTGCTTCGTTCTGTGCTCCAAGCGCTGCTCTCGACACAAGGCCAGCATGGCCTTGTTGTCTACGTACAGCACTGGAGGAGAACGAGGCGGCTCTCCAAGGTCAGTCAGCAGGTAGGTGAGCCAGCGAAGCTCCTGTGCAGCCATGGCCCCGGCGTAGATCTCAGCCTCACAACTGGAGCCGAGAACAGAGGACGAGCGTGTAGCCCGCCACGAGACAGAGCCGGAACCAAGACTGAAGGTGTAACCCTGCGACGACCGCTGCGTAGCCTGGTCGTCAGCCCAAGAAGCGTCCGCGTGCCCAGTGAGGACCACTGGACTCCGCCCTCCAAGCACTAGCCCCATGCCCGACGTACTGCACAAGTAGCGCAACACCCTCTTCGCTGCAGCCATGTGCTCTGGTCGGTGTCTCCCAGGAGCAACATAGCGTGCAAGAATGCTAAGAGGGTATGCAAGGTCAGGTCGTGTGCAGGTCATCAGGTACATGAGGCAGCCAACAAGCTCTGGGTACGGGCCACTCGACTCTACGGACTCATCCGAAGGCAGAGCTGAGAGCGAGTGGCGAGTAGACAGAGGAGTGGCCTGAGGCGAGGAGTACGTGAAGCCGAAGCGCTGAAGGACCTGCTGCACCATGTGTGACTGAGTCAAGGTAATGGTGCGGCGTGCTCTGTCCCGAGTGATCTGCAAGCCAAGGTAGCTGCGCAGTTCACCCAGGTCTGTGCACGTGTGTCTCTTCTGCAGCTCGGACTTCACGTAGGCTAGTCCAGCAGTGTCAGCTGTGGCAAAGACCAAGTCGTCGACGTACACGAGGATGTAGAACGGCGGCAAAGAAGTGTCGGTGCGCAGAAACAACGACGGGTCAGCAGTAGAGGGAGCAAACCCAAGAGCCGCAAGCGTGGTCCTCAGTGTGTCGTGCCACTCACGCGGTGCCTGGCGGAGACCGTAGACTGGCCGTCGGAGGCTCCACTGGGTGCCAGGAGGGAAAGTCCCAGTGAAGCCAGGTGGACGGCGCAGCCAGATCTCCTCGTGCAGGCTACCCTGCAAGAAAGCAGTGCTGAAGTCAAGAGAGTGGAGCTCGTAGTCGCGCTGAGCGGCTATGTGCAGTAGCACCCGAAGAGTGGTCATCTTCGGGGTGGGAGAGAAGGTCTGAAAGTAGTCAACTCCCTGCCGCTGACTGAAGCCACGAGCGACGTACCGCGCCTTGAAGACAGGTGGAGAGCCCGGCGGCCGCTTCACCCTGAAGATCCACATGCCACTGACGATGTTCGCCCCAGGAGGGGGAACCGCGTCAACGTAGGTGCCTGTGGACTTCCAGGACGCCATCTCTGCATCCATAGCTGCCTGCCACTGAGAGGAGTAGGGACCCTCTACGGCCTCCGCGTAAGAGCGCGGAGTCGGGATGTCTAGTGCATCCGGGTCTCCCTCAGGGGCAAGTAGTACGGACGCGAGATGAGGTGAAGCAGCAGCCAGACACTGGAACTCCTCCTGCCTGTCCTCAAGGACGTCCGTGCCAAGAGCACACTCACCCCCGACGGACGGAGGGCAGACAGACGCAGACTCAGCAACAAGACCGGCAGCGTAGTCTAGACGACAGCGAGCAGCAAAGTCGACGAGCTCCGCAACAAGAGCAGACGCAGCAGTGGACTCAAAAGAGGGGTCAGTGACGACAGTAGCAAGGAGACGTGTGACAGTAGGACTGGTAGCACGAAGAGAGTCGGACTCTGGGTCGGTAAGTGCAGGAAGAGAGGACTCAGGAGGGGAAGGCAAAGGGGCACGCAGAGGAGCAGTGGACGGACGCAAAGACATCTGGTGCGTGCCAGGGACAGGAGGAGGACGCTGACGCGAACCGCGACCACTAGCGCGAGCAGCACGAACAGGCGACGCAGGACGAGACGCAGGCTCACGACGCTCAGCAAGACCTCCAGTGGGACCAGTGTAAGGAGAGGGAGCAGGAAGTGGGGAGGCGGGCTCTAACTGGGACTGTAACTGAACAGGCGGTGGACACGCTGCAGGAGGAGAAAGACCAAGAACCTGCTGTAGGAGTGGAACGAAGTACGGCCGAGGCCGCGCGGCGACTCCAGACACAGCAGGGACAGCACCCTCAGCAGCAGCACCAGCGCCAACCGCACCTCCAGCGGGAGGACCTCCAGCAGCACCAGCAGCACCCGCAGCAGGGCCACCGCCAGGAAGGACAGCAGCAGTCTCAGCACCAACACCCGCAGCAGCTCCAGCTCCAGGCGGACCCGAGGGCCCAGCAGCTCCGGGACCAGCGGCACAAGTACCCTCAGCAGCCGAAGGAGCTCCAGCTCCAGCAGTACGTCTCCAGCGGCGAGCAAACCACTCGCGCAGCTCCTGTGGAGAGAGGGGCTCCCGCCGAGGCGAAGCACCCGGAGAACCGCCAGGTCCCGCACCGCCAGACGCCACAAGGGGAGGTCCAGTGGCCGCAGGCTCCGCAGCTCCAGGCTCAGCAGCTCCAGACGCAGCACCCCCTGGCTCAGCACCCCCAGTCGCAGCACCCCCAGGCTCAGCACCCCCAGACTCCGCACCCCCAGGCGCAGCACCCCCAGTCGCAGTACCCCCAGGCTCAGCACCCCCAGACTCAGCACCCCCAGGCTCAGCACCCCCAGGCTCAGCACCCACGCGCGTAGCACCCCCAGAGTCAGCACCCCCAGGCTCAGCACCCGCAGCAGGACCAGAGTCACCAGCAACCTCGACCGGCTCGACTGCGTCTACCTGGGACACACCTGAAGGGGCAGGACCCTGAGGGGGAAGGGGGTCTACCGGGGGGGGACCTGGCACAAGGAAGTGCGGTGGCGGGGGGAGGGAAGGAGTGCGGTAGGGGAAGAGGCGGTAGAAGGGGACTGACTCGTCGAACGTGACGTCCTGGGAGGACAGAACACGACGAGAGGAGGGGTGGTAGAACTGCCACCCTGGGGCGTCAGGGGGGAAGCCGAGGAAGACACAGGGAGCAGCACGAGGGGACAGCTTGTCCGCAGACAAGTCGCGGACAAACGCCCGAGATCCCCAGACACGGAACGCAGACGCATCGCCGACCTTCCCCGTCCACAGCAGAGCTGGGGAGGTCTCCGGCCGGGAGACCCTGGGGTGAAGGTTGATCTGATGCGCCGCGTACCGAACCGCAAACGGCCACAGAAAATGGGGGGCAGCCGCATGCATCATGGACGTACGAGCGACGTCCATGACCATGCCAATGCGGCGCTCAGCAATCCCATTTTGCTGTGGAGAGTCCGGAAGCGTAAAGGTCTGGCGGATGCCTCGTGCACGACAGTAGGCTCGCAGAAGGCCAGAGGAGAACTCTCCACCTCGGTCAGAGTGCAGACGCAGAACAGGAAAGTCCGAGCCGAAGCTCCTCCTGAGCTGGAGACGAGCTGCGCGGATCCAGTCGATCAACACCTCAGTGACATCACCCTTGCT